TGGGGGAAGGGGACAAAAGCAATTATTTTCAGTTTCTGTACTAAGTTAACTGTGATTAACATTTTGGAGTATAGATGAAAATTTTTTTCCTTGGATACACATGGAAATGTATATGCTTTTAAATGTTTTTTCCCTAAATGTGATTATACTACATATGCTCCTCTGTTTATTTTTGAAGTTCTGTTTATTTTTATTTGACATTTTTTGAGCTTTTATTATCATGTGCTACTTTTAGGGGTACGTACATCTTTGAATAAAAGATAAGGTTGGAAAGAAAAAAAGATAAAGTTGGCCTTAAGTAACTAACCTGAAGAAGGGGTTAGAGATATGCAGTGGGTTTGCTTTTGTTTGTTCAATGATTTTAAAAATTATTAAACGGCCATGGAAAAATGTCCATGTTAAATATGCACATAAGCCATGTTTCTTGTAACCCCTTAGTATTCTGTTGTATTTATGTATTATCATTTAATTAATTCCCTCTTGATGGACCTTTAGGTTTGTTCTAGTTTTTTGATATTAATAACACTAATGAATATTTTAATTCATTTGCCTAGTGTGTGTGTGGTTTTTTGTTTTTTTTTTTTTTTTTGAGACAGGGTCTCTGTCACCCAGTCTGGAGTGCAGTGGTGCGATCTTGGCTCACTGCAGGCTTTGTCCCGTGCACGTCCCCCGCCTCCACCCTGCAGCTGAGATTACAGGCATTCGCCACCGCGCCTGGCTAATTTTTACTATTTTTAGTGGAGACAGGGTTTCCTCATGTTGGCCAGGCTGGTCTTGAACTCCTGACCTCAAGTGATCCGCCTGCCTCAGCCTTATAAAGTGCTGGGATTACAGGCGTGAGCCACTGCCTCCAGACATCCTTAGGGTATATTTTTAGAACTGGAATTGTTGAATCAAAGACTACTGTTAAAAATAAAATGTGTGTGTGTATATATATGTGTATGTGTGTGTGTGTGTGTATATATATATATATATATATATATATATATTTAGGCCAGGCGTGGTGGCTCATGCCTGTAATCACAGCACTTTGGGAGGCTGGTACAGGAGGATCATTTGAGATCAGGAGTTCAAGACCAACCTGACCAACATGGTGAAACCCCGACTCCACTAAAAATAGTAAAAAATTAGCTGAGCATGGTGGTGAATGCCTGTAATGTCAGCTACTCAGGAGGCTGAAGCAGAAGAATTGCTTGAACCTGGGAGGCAGAGGATGCAGTGAGCCGAGACTGTGCCACTGTACTCCAGCCTGGGTGATGGTATGAGACTCCATTTAAAAAAAAAAAAAAAGTTAAATTTTAGCATTTAGTTGGTTTTCAAATTCAGTGGTGTTCTTTTTTGATTTTTAGAGATCAGACAGATTGACTCAGTCATGGAATAGCTGAAGATTAGTGGCATTGAATTTTATGGTTTAGCATGGAATTATTTTATTAAATTTTTGGCATTTCCAAAAAGGTTTTGATTTTAAACTTTAATTCTGAAATATTATACCAAGCATCCTGAAGAGATAAAACATAATGTGATGGTTGCTCATATGCTCACCCTCCTGATTGCAGTTCTTCGATGTTCTGTCATGTTTGCTTCATCTCCATCTTTTTTTTTTTTTGAGATGGAGTCTCTGTTGCCCAGGCTGGAGTGCAGTGGCATGATCTTGGCTCACTGCAACCTCAGCCTCCTGAGTAGCTGGAATTACAGGCGCATGCCACCATGCCTGGCTAATTTTTGTATTTTTAGTAGAGACGGGGTTTCACCATGCTGGCCAGGCTGGTCTCAAACTCAGTTCTTTTGCAACATTTACATGCATCTATAAACAATGTTTTTGTGTTTTAAAATTTACATTAATGGCATCATACTGTACCTGACCTTTCACAACTTGCTTTTACTTTGTATCATTTTTTAGTTTATCCAAGGTGTTGTGTAGATTTAGTTAAAGGTTGTAGTATTTCTGTTCGGGCACGGTGGCTCATGCCTGTAATCCCAGCACTTAGGGAGGCCAAGGCAGGTGGATCACAAGGTCAGTAGATCGAGACCATCCTGGCTAACATGGTGAAAACCCGTCTCTCTACTAAAAACACAAAAAATTAGCCAGGTGTGGTGGCACGCACCTGTAGTCCCAGCTACTTGGGAGGCTGAGACAGGAGAATTGCTTGAACCCGGGAGGCAGAGGTTGTAGTGAGCTGAGATTACGCCACTGTACTCCAGCCTGGACAACAGAGCGACAACAGATACTCCATCTCAAAAACAAAAACAAACAAAAAAAGTTGTAGTGTTTATATAGAATATAGATTAGTAGTGAAATTGCTGCTTTAAATTTTTTTTGGTGTTGCAATTGTACATTTAAAAGTGAGGTTTTACAAATTAAAGTGCATTAAGTGTTGCTTAAAAATAAATTGCTTTATGAGTGTGGTTGTATAGTTCGTATAAAACTAATTACCCAAGACTTGACAGTAACATTAACATCAGTAATGCCTACCAGATATCAGTTTCTGTTTTTATTTTAAACAACAAACTCAAACGTGGAACAGCAGTTTCTGTTCTAAGCTTTTCTTGTTGTATAGATTATGTCATTTAGTCCCCACAAGATAAAGAAATCGAGGGACAGAAAGGTTAAGTAACTTGGCTAAGATTACCCTCTTAGTAAATGACAGTGCTGAGATTGAACCCTGGCATTCAACCCTACATATACTTTTCCTTAAGTATACACTTCTGTTGCTTTTTGTCATAAATGAACAAATATAAAAATGGCCTAGTTAATTCAGAATAATCACATTAAACCATGTGAGTTGGTGGTTGGATGTCAGAATTGAAGTGATTTCTACTTAGATTATTAGGGTTGTTTGTCCCCGTAGAGGCAGATTCTAGCTTACCATTGGTGTTTTTGCTATTTTTAAGCAGTGATTATAAGTCTAGTTGATTGCTAAAGCCTGTATGCAGGTACTGCCTCCCCTAGAGCCTTTGGGGTCCTCAAGGGTAGCAGTGTGTCAAGCTCACTTTCGCATTCCTGCTTCAGTGTCACATTGAGCTGTTTGATCCCCAAATCCCTGTGCTAGCAGTGCTGAGAAACACCACTGCCATTTGTAACGCTGTTTTCATGTGGGGGGACTGCTACACTGCTACAGCTTGTTATGTCAGGAGCCCGTCTTCCCATACTTACCACATCAGCAACTCCCTTCCTCTTACCACTGGGGCAATAGAAAGACTGACTTCAGTGCTTGAGCCTGAGGCCCAAGGCAGAGGATCCTGAGAGACCCATCCATGATGGCGAGGCTGGGGTGGGTCTGTATAGACTTCCCACTAGCTGAGCCTAAGCCCTTTCTTAGACCACATTACTTTCTCATGATATTTTCAGGGTTTTCCCCTCTTAACCTCAGAGGTTACCCTGCCTGCTGCATCTTCCTGCCTCTGCTTCCTGCATCTCTCCCTGGGCTAAGCACACTTCTCTCCCTCTCTTTCTCTTCCTCTACACTGTGTGGAGCACATGGCAGACGTATGCGCAGTGCAGATTACTGAGCCTCACCTTACACTGCTGAATCAGAGCCTTGGGGTGACCATCCAGTGATGTGTATATTATATGTTTCTAACCTTTTCTTGTGGCAAGTTACAAACATGGCCAAACGAGACGATGGTACTGTTCACCCTCACGTACTGGTTGCCCAGCTGTGTAACCGTCATCAGTTCATGAGCCACTCTTCCTCCTTCTATAGGCCCACTCCCTCACAACCCTAATTATTTGGAAACAAATCAGATACCACTTTTGTTCCCTGTAAATAAACAGCTATGTGTATCTTTCTCCCAACTTTTTGGGACAAGTTTTAGAAAATGTGATAGTGAATACCTTTATACCCTTTACCTAGATTCTCCAATTTTGCCTGATGTTTTTCTCTCTCTGCATCTCATATATATTTTTGTGTTGCTAAACCATTTGAAAATAAGTTGAGCTACCATGACAGTTCATTTCTAAGTATTTCAGCTGGTTTCTCCTAAGAGCCAGGGACATTCTTCTATATATAATGACAATACAGTTGTCATGTTTAGGAAATTTTCCTGAGTGTCCAACTAGTGTTTTTTATATCTTCCTTTTTAAAAGGATCACATGCTACATTTCATCTAGAATCGTTCCCTAGTCTGTCTTTAAAAACAAAAACTTTCATTACAATGATATTTTTTAAGAGTCCATGCCATTTGTTTAACATAATATCCCTGAATTTGGATTTGTCTTATTGTTTCAGCATGATTAGATTCAAATGACATATATTTTGGCAGAAACGCTGTGTAGGTGATATAGCCTTTTGTAGGACGTCACACATACCAGTTTGCTCATTATCAGTATGTTAAATTGGTTATCTGGCTAAGGTAGTTTTCCAAGGCTTCCCACTGTAAAGGCCCCTTTGTAATTAATCGTTGATTATTCTTACTGGATTCATTTATTACATTGTGTTTTGTCTGAAGTAAGATTCATCTGTACTTCAGTAGAACAGCCGGTTTTAGTTTCTTCGGCGTTTTTCATGTGGGGGGACTGCTACACTGCTACAGCTTGTTATGTCAGGAGCCCGTCTTCCCATACTTACCACATCAGCAACTCCCTTCCTCTTACCACTGGGGCGATAGAATATTGGCAGAAATACGGAATAGAAATAGAATATGGGCAGAAATACAGAAGTGAGAGCCATGGAGAGAGAGTAGCTGTGTGTTTGAGGTGGGCATGGTGGTGATCCTGTTATATTCCCCGTCACGTGTTGCTGTAGCCCTGCAGCGGGGCTGCAGTCAGGGGGCTTTTCAGAGGTCCCTGGCATCATGGCTCTTGACAGATTGGTGAGTTCTTGTGGCTGCTTGGCTAGAACTGTACTGTCCAGTCAGCCTTTGAAGGTATGAGATGTGCACCTGCTCGTATACATTAGACTGCTCCTGGCTGTGTAAACTATCATCACAAACTTCAGTGAGAGGCATTTTCACCTTGAAATCGTGGTCAGATCCACTTTGACAAAGGTTCTCTTTTCCAGTGGGTGAATTTGTAAGTGATGTTCTGCTAGTTCCAGAAAAGTGCCAGTTTTTCCACAAAGAGCGGATGGAGGTGTGCGAGAATCACCAGCACTGGCACACAGTAGTCAAAGAGGTAAGAGAACTGAGCGGGGGAGTCAGCTGTTGTTGTATCTATTAGGAGAGAAGGTAGCAGTTTTCTCCAAATCTCACCATGCTTTTCAGTTACTTTTGTTTCCCCCTTATCTCCTTAAGATTTATAATTACTTCTGTCTTGTAAGTTAGAAATTTTTGGGAGAGAAGTACGTATTTGTATAGGAGAGTTCAGCATTGACAGTCCAGCTCCTGAAGTTGAGGATGTTAAGGAGGTGGCTGAGCGAGAATATTGTGTGCTGCTGGTGAGGCTCCCAGGAAACCATCCTAACCCTAAGGCCTGCATGGAAATCGCCAGTTATAGAAAATGTGGGTCTGGACATATGCACAGGCAGGATTGCATGCCATCTTACTTTTCTGGTGGTGAGAAATACCCTTTCTTGTCTTCTGTAACATGGTTGGCTCTGCTCTTTTGTCAGTAATCTTCCTTTGATCAAATACTGAAGTAGTGCTTGCAGCAGTGATGAATATAAATTAACATTGACCACCTTATCTGGTTTTGGTCATTATTAGAAGAAAAAGTCTCTTTTCCTGACTTGTTTCCACGTTTGGGATTTCAGTATTTTTGGACCAGATCATGTTTCCCGGTTGTAAATTAACATGTATAAATCTTACAATAATATTACAATTTTTTGACAGAAAATTTACATGTTCATAAGAGAAAGCATTGCAAAGTGGTTTGATACGGGTTTATTTTGGATGAGGGTAGAGATCAGAGTATATTTGACTATATTTACTCTGGAATATGTTCTGATATGGTCTGTGGGTTTATTTTAGGCATGTCTGACTCAGGGAATGACCTTATATAGCTACGGCATGCTGCTCCCATGTGGGGTAGACCAGTTCCATGGCACTGAATATGTGTGCTGCCCTCAGACAAAGATTATTGGGTCTGTGTCAAAAGAAGAGGAGGAAGAAGAGGAGGAGGAAGAGGAAGAAGAAGAAGATGAAGAGGAAGACTATGATATTTATAAAAGGTAACTTCTACTTTGAACTGTGAAGTCATTTTGCCTTTTTGTTAGCCCTTCTGTAAAGATGGCTGCTGGCTGCTAGTCCCTCACTTCTGGATAAGCTGGGCATTCCTTTGTGTTCTGCTAGAGCTGATTAAGCTTACATTTCATTCTAGCCGTCACCAGTCACAGGAATACCTGTGACTTTTGTGTTTACATCATTCTGGGCTGTGTTATTTTCTGCAGGTTACTATGATATTTTTTAAGAGTCCACGCCATTTGTTTAACATAATATTCCTGAATTTGGATTTGTCTTACTGTTTTATCATGATTAGATTCAAAAGCTTCCCGTTTGCTGATGTAGCTGGGCTCAGAGTCTTAGTGGCACAGTGAAATGTGCGTTGAGCTTATTTCCTGCCTCTGTTTTTGTGTTTCAGAATAGAGACGGGACTCATTGTTGTGCTTTGCACATAGGAGTTATTAACCTTCCTTTTTTCTATTTTGGCCTTCAGTGAATTTCCTACTGAAGCAGATCTGGAAGATTTCACAGAAGCAGCTGTGGATGAGGATGATGAGGATGAGGAAGAAGGGGAGGAAGTGGTGGAAGACCGAGATTACTACTACGACACCTTTAAAGGAGATGACTACAATGAGGAGAACCCCACTGAACCCAACAGCGATGGCCCCATGTCAGACAAGGAAATTACTCACGATGTCAAAGGTAACCGCCTGTAGAGCCATGGCTTTGAAATCCACATGGTAATATTCACTTAGACTTTTGCATTGCGTCTGTTACAGGTAAGTCAGTCATAGAAGGAAAGGTGTGGTATCTCTGCACTGAAGGTGAGTTCAGCTCTTCAGTGCAGTGATGGTGCCGTCTTAACAAAGTGGGCAGGCAGACACATCGAGGGAGAGGTGTAGGATTGAATTAGAGAACAAGGACTAGAGAGTAAGAAAGACAGCATAGTCCGCCCTTCAGCAGGATTCTTCCACGTTCAGCCTAAAATATTCCCTCCCCAAGGGAAGCTCCCCTCTTTGATACCACTCAAATCCTGGCCTCCTAGAATAGAACTGGCTTGCCTGGTTTTTCTTTTCCTGCGTCTGTTCTAATCTGTAGGCTGCCCTATTTGTCCAGATGTTTTAGTTGGGAGGGTGAAATTTATTAACCTGCTGGTAACAAATTAGGGCCTGCAGTTTTTTTTCATCTTGCCAATTAAAACAAGAAAAGGTTGCAGTAGTTCCAGAGCCAGTAACATGCAGCCTCCTGCTGATTGTATATTTGAAAGCAATTAAGAGCTGAAGAATTATTTAGGACCCAAGTTGGGGGAAATTACTTAACCAGTTGAGAAGTTTATGATTTGCCTTAGAGAACGTAAAAATGGGAAACAAGGCCAGGCGCGGTGGCTCAAGCCTGTAATCCCAGCACTTTGGGAGGCTGAGACGGGCGGATCACAAGGTCAGGAGATTGAGACCATCCTGGCTAACACGGTGAAACCCCGTCTCTACTAAAAAATACAAAAAACTAGCTGGGTGAGGTTGCCGGCACCTGTAGTCCCAGCTACTCGGGAGGCTGAGGCAGGAGAATGGTGTAAACCCAGGAGGTGGAGCTTGCAGTGAGCTGAGATCCGGCCACTGCACTCCAGCCTGGGCGACAGAGGGAGACTCTGTCTCTCAAAAAAAAAAAAAGGGAAACAATTGTCTGTTCTAGATGCTTTAGTCTTTACTCCGGTATCACCACTTAAAATAGCCTTTCCACTCACATTGTCTCCTGAATAGACAAACGAGGCAGATAACTCCACTGAACAGATCAGAAATGCGAGGCTCTCACAGCTGTGAGACAAAGGGATTGCTCTACGTCAATCTAAACTTAGATCTAGACTCCAGAGGGTGCCAAAAAAATATCCCAGTTCCTAAATGTCTCTACTCCATGGGGAAGCAACTTGTCCTCAGCAAGGCTGGCCTGAGCTGGAGCATTCTGCCAGCCAGGGCCTCTGGGCTCTGTCCTGTCTCAGGCCTCCCCCAGCCCATTCCCCGGCTTGCTGGCCTGTAGCATTTTGAAACATTTGACGTCACTGCCTCTGTCCTGCTGACACTCTGACCGTTTTCACACAGCTGTCTGCTCCCAGGAGGCGATGACGGGGCCCTGCCGGGCCGTGATGCCTCGTTGGTACTTCGACCTCTCCAAGGGAAAGTGTGTGCGCTTTATATATGGCGGCTGCGGCGGCAACAGGAACAATTTTGAGTCTGAGGATTATTGTATGGCTGTGTGTAAAGCGATGAGTAAGTCCCGCCTTGCGGGGGTCCTGTGCGGCAGCACCGTCCTGTCCGGCGTCCGTCTCCCCGCCGTCCTCGTGGCTGCATCTGTGTGGTGTCCCTGCCCACTCGGGTGTTTGCTGTCAGTCGTCTTCCCCTCATCTTTGTGCTTTCTAGGTCTAGGCTTTGCTCTCCTTCCGGCAGTGGTAAGCTCAGTTCTTATGTCCTGTGGTCACCGTGTGTCTGGTGGTGCTCGGTGGTGGTGGTGCGCACCCGCCTTGGTATAGCGGGCGGCACGGCCAGGGGCTTGTCCTTTCTCGTCCGGCTTCGGAGTCTGCAGGCCCCGGGCCACTGTAGTGTTGGTGGGGGAAGGCAGCTGTGCCTTGGGCTGGCTCTAGCTCAGAGGCACTGAACGTTCCTGTCTTTGAACTGCCCTGTCTCTGACCCCTGTGATGCATGCCAGCTCACGGGATGCCTGCTCTTGAAAGGAGTGACAATGAAGTACTTTGGGCAGTCTAGAATATGGAAATATCTTGCATAATGCACTCTAGAAGAGAGCTAGCAGCCAAGTGGTAGTGACTCACTGTGTTGCTTCAATATTGTGCAGCCGGGTCACACAGCTTTAGGAAGTGAGAGGATTTCAGTTGGTGTGTGCTTTGGTGTGACGGGAAGGTCAGTGGTTCAGTTGAGTTGGGTTTACGCTGGACGTTGGTAGGAAGAGTTTCTACCAAGAGTTTCCCTTTTCTCCATGGCTACTCCTTTTTCTCTTTAAGAGCTTCAGTCTCTCACCTTGCAGCACTAACCTACACATTAGGAAGATCCTCAGGCCAGACCGTTTTTCTTGGTTCCTACTCTGGAATTTGTTGGAATAATAATTTGCTATGAAGGATTTGGCTATAGCTCTGATGGATTTTCATTCAAATCTCTTCATGTTCCCTCTTCCTTCCTTCTACCAAAAGATCTTTCACATCTTAATGTAATACGGCAATGCTTTGAGTGCTTCCCTTCCAACTCCAGGAAAGCTGATTTATTCTGTAACAGTTGAAAGGTGAAATAAAAAGAGTCCTTAGGGAACCTTGGTGAATAAACTTTGCGTTTTCAGGAAAGATTCAGAAATAGAAATTATTGTGAGACTTACTACTTTGTAAAACTTGGGTTGAAGCCTGAGGAATCCCAGTGAGTGTGGAGGTGGTGATCTCTACCTGAAGGGTCAGCTAGGAAGTGCTGTGAGACATGAAGGAGTGGCAGGTCTGTAAAACTGTTTGCTGTGGCTTGGATGAGATTTGCCTCGGAGAAGCAGTGTTCATGCTCTGTGGGGCCTCTGCCTGGAGGGCTTTGCAGGTTGAGAAGCATCAGGTTTCCTTCCAGTGGGAACGTTTTTGTTCTTCTTTGAAGGGGCTGAGGCTGGCGGATGTGCCGGCTTCGTGATCACGTGTGTGATTCCACAGGGACCCAGGGTATCTTCAGAAAAAAGCCTTTCAGCCCACTGTCCTCTCCACTCTGGTCCCAGGGAGGGTGGAAGCAGCCTGTGTTTGCCGTTATCTTTATCCAGTCCAGCTATATGAACCAAAGGCTCCGTCTGCAGCGCTCAGGCCTTTACAGCACAGGCACGTGTCGCTGGTCCGCACGATGGGCTGCAGCGCTTGAAATTCTCCTTCACTGAGCCTCCGAGTGCCTTGGGGAATGGCGTTTACTAAGTTATAGATTCCCATTTAGTTAATCTGAAAGTGGGATATTGACATCCTTTTAAAACTTACATAGGGCTCATATTCTTCATGACTTTAGTTGTCATGTTTAGTTCTGTTAAAGGGGCAAATAAAAGATGCTTCCGACAGAAAAAGTTGAACTGGCTGGCTAATTTGTAGCTCTATTCATCAATTATACAGTTGTTTTAATGTGTTAAAATGATGCAATTCTAGAAATTAGGTGAATTTGCTTCTGAATTAAAAATCGGTTGAATCTTGGCATTCACTCTCCACTTAGCTCTGAAATTGTGTCATAATCTACCAAGCAAGTCCACACCAGCTTGGGAAATCTTGTATGAATTAGGCTAGTAAGGGTTACCTTAGGTATGTCTTGAGAGGCTGACTGAGTAAACTTGCCATCTTAGTCGTTTCCCTTATCAGGCTAAATTCCATCGTGCAGACACTCACTTGCTTGGGCCCTATAAGAGATTATGCCCATCCAGCAGGCCGGGGTGCTCCAATAGACCTGTGCTCTGGGGAACGCTTGGGAAGCCCTATTGGTCAGTGTCATGGATCAAAAAGCCCTATCTTCATATCGGTGAAAGGTGTCCTTGTCAAATAGAGCAACTTAGTTTTACCTTTGTTGGTTCTGTCACTTTGGTGGCGCTGAGAGTCCTTCAGTGATACTGAAAACTCAAAACTACAGCTGGCATGATTGGGACTTTCTCTACCCAGCGTGTATGCAAAGAACATTCAGTTGAGCCTGTTTTCCATTGTAAATTAAGACTCAAAGATAGCCAGAAGAGTGGAGGTTCCTGAGTAATAAATTTCTTCAAAAATAGGGAATTGCATAAAAGTGCCTCTACAGGGTCTGATTTCTGCGCTTGCCTCTGTTCAGATGCTCAGTTATGATGAATAAAGTAGCTATTGTTTAGGTTTCCAGGGTTCGAGCACTGAAGGGAAGGTATAGAAGAAACCACCTCATTTTCGGCCCTGAGGTCTTAAGTAGATGCCTCATTGGTGCTGTAGCTGCCAATAAATTGCTGTATTAGCATGGTCTGACATGGTTGATGGATGTTGTGTAAGGAATATTGCCCACTGTAATCTAACCAAGTGAAGTCTTGGCAGATAGCAGCGCCCTGCACTTAGAGAATGCCACAAAACAGTTTGAGTCCGTTCTGCAGGTCCTGAGCTGGGTTTTCTTCCCAGAGCACAGTGCACCTGATCCCAAAGAGAACTCCCTCTGTAATTTTGTTTCAGTTCCTCCAACTCCTCTCCCAACCAATGATGTTGATGTGTATTTCGAGACCTCCGCAGATGACAATGAGCATGCTCGCTTCCAGAAGGCTAAGGAGCAGCTGGAGATTCGGCACCGCAACCGAATGGACAGGGTAAACCTCGACAATTCCTTCATCTTCATGGCACTTGGCTCTGGGTAGCATGGTTCTCATAGATGAAGAAAAGTAATATATTCTCCTAGATTGTCGTGCTGATGTGTAAGGACTGGTGAGGCAGGAGAGAGTTACCAGTGGAGCTGCCTTCTGGGTGAACTTCTTCCCCACCTGCATCTGGATCATAGTACAATTACCCCCTGAGCACTTAGCATGTCCCAGACACTCTGCTGAGTACTTCCTATACCGTTATCTGCCCCTTTTTTTGGGCAATTAACTTGCTTTAAAATTTATTTTATTTTAAAGAAGGAAACTTTGTATCACTGTTATCAATAAAAAGCTAGTACTATTTGCCATGAGAAGAAAGTGACCAACCATACAAATATATTATAGATCCTGCTGTCGTGGAAGGTTCTGAGTCTCCGGGATGTTTCTTTTCCTTTAAAAGGGTTATAAGAGAGCAGCAGGAACACCAAAGTGCACCTTTTCTTTTGGATTTACTCAGGATTGAAAGAGAATTGAAAAGGGAATGTCTTGCTAGGCCTAAGCTCCACCCCAATCCCACACAGTCCCATGTTGGGCTTACAGTTTGAAAAATGCTCATTGTTTTATCCACATCAGCTCTGAAAAGTAGGTATTAACCTCAATTTTTTTGGTGAGGAGACTAAGACACAGAGACTTTTAAATAACTTACCCAAGGTTATGTAACAAAGAGGTCATGGAATTGAGGCTCCATCTGGGGATAGTTGAGGCCTAGAACCTTCTGAGGCAGTAACAATGCTAAGCTCATAAGGGATCGTGTGATTGGTTTCCTTTTGTAGTTTCCTATTAGATTTAGCATCTGACGATATTTTTAGAAAATGGAGGAGTTGTTTCAGGGTACTAATCACTGCTGACAGTGTTTTTGACCTTTGTTCTAGGTAAAGAAGGAATGGGAAGAGGCAGAGCTTCAAGCGAAGAACCTCCCCAAAGCAGAGAGGCAGACTCTGATTCAGGTAAGATGCTTTCTCCAGGGACGTAGCTTTCAGCCTCACCATTGGAAAATACGGTCAGAGCCCCATTCCCAACGAAGTTAGAATTGGACACCGCCTCCTTTTAGGTGAGGGCTTACAAGGAAGTTGCAGCTGGCCTATTTTTCTTTTTCACCTCACGTATTGCTCACCTATGGTAGAAGAAAACCAAACCCCCACCAGAGCACACCTAATTCATGCCAGAAGGTAACCTTAGCTCAGCTGCCTCTTGTTAGTTCTGCTTTCCTGGCAAAAGTCCTCTGCCAATTTCAACCTTAGACTGTGACTTGTTTTTCAGCAGTACTGAATTTTTTTAAGACTAATTGAAAGTCAAAGGATAGAAAATAAAGATCTCTGATACAATTCATCTCTAACTTTGTCGGCTATAACTAAAATCATAGCAGCAAACTGCATTCCCCTTCAGTGGAAGAGTGTTGCTAGGAATAGGGATAGCAATTTCCAGGACTGATTTGGTTTTTACAAAACTGATTGTGTAAATTTTAAATCATTTTATGTTTAGCTGAAATGTCTTTCCTCCAAATGTCAACACTTTAATAAAGTGTTAAAAGTAATTTTAACAACCTTTTTTATTGATCATTTAGAATATCTAACAATTTTAATTCCTACAGAAGCCAATGCATTTTGTTCAGGGAAATTTAGTTCAGCAGGCTTAAACTACCTGTAAACCTGGCCGGATACCTCACATAACGTGCGCTTCATGATTTTATTGACAGTAATGGCAAAAACCACAATTACTTTTGCACCAACCTAATGACAGGAATGCTTCAACAGAACTTACCACATGACTCCCATTGGTCAGTGGTCTCAGGGTTTGGAAGTTGGTGCCTTGCTGCAATGTGGGAAGGACAGTGTTCCTTTTTTTATAGTGCATATTGAGGCCTTGGGCTTGCAGGCACTAGCACTTTCAGTTGTAAATATATTAAAGAAGCCCTCTGACACTGAGATTTAACTTGCTGTCTTTAAAGAAGGAAGTAATTCTCCTGATGGAAGTAGAATGAAAGTAGAATGAAGCAGACTGTGGATCCTACCCTTGCTCCACTCTCCGAACCTGTTACTGTCTTGCATGGGCACTGACAGGAGAAGCACTGGGGTCTAAGGTTGCTTGCCTATGCTTCCTCCGGGTGCCACAAATCATATGTGGTTCCTGCTCTCTTGGTTTAGCACTTCCAAGCCATGGTTAAAGCTTTAGAGAAGGAAGCAGCCAGCGAGAAGCAGCAGCTGGTGGAGACCCACCTGGCCCGAGTGGAGGCTATGCTGAACGACCGCCGTCGGATGGCTCTGGAGAACTACCTGGCTGCCTTGCAGTCTGACCCACCACGGGTGAGTCACAGACAGAGCCAAATCATTGATGAGTCCTGCGCCTATTGCTGCCTGTCCTGAGGTGGTGTATGTAGGGGACCAGTGTATGACACTCAGGTCAGTAAAAGTGACATTTGTATGACAAGTTCTGGCAAAGCTGAAGCTAAGAAAAGACGATTAGGGAGGAAAAGGTATTACATTCTAATATCTGCGTATATAAGCTAAGCATGACATCGCTTTATGCCTGTGTATACCACCTGTGATGTGAAAGTGTTTTACACTAGAAAAGTATAACCTCGGGAAATTGATTGGTAATTATCCAGTTATTGAACTTCCTTTCAAAGAATGGAAACATGCTTTTCATGAAGACTTTTGAAGAAGTTACATTGTAAATAAGATTATGAAGAAAGGGGTAAAGTAATTTCTTCTGAAACTCTTGTGTGAGTGGTCTCAAATGATTTTGTGCCTTAACACTAACCTGCCTTGCTTTGGGGGATGGAAAGAATTAGGAGGATATTTGTATCCTTAAGTAAGCCAGTTAAAGTCTTCTCTCTTTGGGAGACACAGGAGACTACCTAGCTTGTAATTCAGACGTCAGAGGCTGAGCCAGGAAAAAGGACAGATCTGAAGAGAATAGTGAGCTGGAGATTCTGGAAAATACTGTATGTTAAGGAGCCGATATAACTTCAGAACTTAGTTTTGCTATTTTACCTAGACAGTTTTTTAGTTACTTGGTAAGCTAAAAAAGCTTTCAGAGTTACAACTTTCATTCTTGTGCCTAGCTGAGCTTTACATTCTTAAGTGAACTTTTTAAGCTTTTGTTTTCCTGCCTATTTTCATTTCTCTAGTCTCTGGATATTAAAACAACTGTTCTCTCTTGCAGCCTCATCGCATTCTCCAGGCCTTACGGCGTTATGTCCGTGCTGAAAACAAAGATCGCCTGCATACCATCCGTCATTATCAGCATGTGTTGGCTGTTGACCCAGAAAAGGCGGCCCAGATGAAATCCCAGGTACAGTAGATGTAGTAGAAATTGTTGCTGTGAGGGCATTTCCAGTGGGGAACATAATGCCTTGACTAATGGTTGAACAGCACTACTGGTTGAACAGGACTGCTAGTTGTACTTGTTATTAGTCCTTAGAAAATGATTTTTGATTTCCGAAGACATTGGGTACATGAGCTGGTTTTTGCAAGGGTACTATTTTTAAAACATCTTTTTTTATACTTTTTTATATTAACTACTTTGTACTTAAACAATTTCCGATTTTTTTATATCATTTATTTCTGATTTAAATATTGCCAGAACCAGTATTCAAGATCCTTTTCTAGGTACATTTATCAAGCAGATCTTAAAAATTGGTCTCTTGTTTTGTGCAGTATAGTTTTTGTTTAGACAGACACTTTTACATTCCTAGGTTTTGTCCAGCTTTACTTTCATCTATAGAGGTTTGTTTCTGGTTCCTATTTCTCATATTGGTGTTGTTCATATGTTAACTTGAGTTTTACTTTCTTGTATTCATAAAAATGAACTTGCCTACCAGACTGCTAGCTTCCGTGTAAACAGGAAGTCTCGTAGCCCATCCTGTTAGTTTTCCTAGAGGGCCTTATGGTAACAACGCTGATCTTATTTCATTTCCTCTCATATTGTAAATACAGTGCTGTGCCGATTGTGAGTGCCAGGGTACGTGGGCTCACTCACTGCACGGGTGCTGGCCTGTCAGTCCAGAAACCCTCCTTCCCCACAGTTGCTGTGTGTGTGAAGATGAAAAGATAACGTGCCTAGAGGCCTTTGGGGTGTTGGAGCTGAGCTGCTCCGTTTGTGGAGCTGGGGTCTGTCTGAGTGCCAGATTCCACACTAGCATTCAGTGCTGCCGGACTGACTCCCCTGAGTGCCCTTGAGCAGCTCACACGCTAGTGTAGAGAGAGTGAAGAGCAGGTGTTTTGTGGGTTTGTTTGTTTTTTGAGATGGAGTCCCACTCTATCACTCAGGCTGGACTGCAGTGGCGCCATCTCAGCTCACTGCAACCTCCGCCTCCCGGGTTCAAACAATTCTCTTGCTTCAGCCTCCCGAGTAGCTGGAATTACAGGCGCCCGCCATAACGCCTGGTTAATTTTTGTGGTTTCAGTAGAGACGGGGTTTCACCATATTGACCAGGCTGGTCTTGAACTCCTGGCGCCTCAGGTAATCCGCCCACCTCAGCCTCCCAAAGTTCTAGGATTACAGGCGTGAGCCACTCCTGCCAAGCCCAGAGCAGGTGTTCTTAGATATATAGAGTTCACTTCAGAAGCTGGTTGTTTTGGGGAATAAAAGAGCTCAGGCTTTTAAAGAGTGGGAAGAAAGTGGAAAGGGGCTGGGCTGGAGACCCTAAGAGGCATCTGGTGTGGGCCTGGAGCTCAAGGCTTTGCTTCACGCTGGATGCAGCAGAAGAAGAGAAAGTCTAAGAGGCCTGGATGGAAAATGCATGCATCTTGACAGGGCTTAGACTTTTGGGGTCTACTTGATTTTTGAAAGGACTTAATCACTTTCCAAACTTCCTGTTTTAAAATTAAATTATTGTGTTGTATTTTAGCCAGTTTTGTGTGAGAGTAGAAGGGAAGGAGAGATTTTGATCAGTGCAGTAAATAGAGAATTCTTGCAAGTGAGATCAAGCTTCCACACCAAGTAATGTGGGAAGTAGAGCCCTCCCATCTTAAAACACCTTTGGGGAGAAAACCCAGCTCTCCTGTCTGCTACTTACTGTCTGCTCTTAGCTGTAATTCTGGCAAAGCTTACCTTCTGCCTTGTTCCCTATTCTGTTATCTAAACGTTAGAAAAATTTGCAGATGTTCAGCCTGTTGTAACTTGTGCCATATCTACTTGTCTGGATGTGAGTGAGATGGTGCTTTTACCCCTATACTATAGCCAATGGTTTGCTGTAGAGACACTGATTTCCAGTCTCCCACCCTGTGGTTCTTGTCCTCTGTGAGTGTATGAACCATCCGCTCTCACACGGCTCCCTGTTCCTCTGGGGAGGTGTAGCAGGACAACGCTTGCTGAACCTGTGGGTGTTGCATTTTGGCTCCATTTGCATTTTTTCTTCAAGGCACTCTTGTGCTTTCCTTGATTGACAGAATGGCACATACAAAATTAAATTGCTTTCATCCTTGCTTTAAAAGGTCAGAGAGATGTCAGTCTACAATAAAAGCATCTTTCCATTTAGCTTTTTTTCTCATGTTGACCCTTCATGTTAATGGCTTCAAGCCCATGTGATTAATCCATTGGTTTCCAGTGCCCTCTTTAGGAAAAGCTTGGTAATTGCAGGTCTAACCAGGCAGGGATGACTTTGCTTTTTAAGCTTATGGGAGCTACAGCAACACACCTCGCCATGTCATTGGGGTGGATGCTAGCCCGAGTCACCTTTCACTTTCATCCTGAAAAGCTGTAAAAATAGTGACCACTTCTAATGGCTTTTTTTTTTTTTTAAATGAATAACCTTAGAACTTTTGCATTCGGAAAAGGCAGTGAGCTGTGGTGGATGAGTCTTCCTGTATCCCTTCCTGTATACCTTAAAATCAGGTTTATTTATTCCTCTGCATGAGTTTTTTAAAAAATAACAATTTAGTTAAATAGGAATAAACTAATTCTTTATTTACCACAATAATCATTTAAGCAATTGCTTCACTAAGCAAAATCCATAATGGTTCCCTGTGTCGCCAAGTCTACTTTTCAGCCAGTAATTTCAGTCTTTTTTAATCCCATCCAATCTGACCAGTGGTAGAAATCGACTGACTCTTTTCTTTCACTCAGCAAAACCTTACTGAATGTTCAGCATTGTACAAATCAGGGCTCTTTTTTTTTTTTTTTTTTTTTTTAAACTCAATATGATTAGTATTAAGTGCCTCGAATGAAAATCCAGTAGCTAGTGGCCATTTTTTAATAAATTGTCTCTTAACTTGGAGCACTCTCTTTAGATAAATTCTCACATCAGCTGGGGGAATTATACAGTTTGAACACTTTTTTTTTGAGACAGGATCTTGCTCTGTTGCCTAGGTTGGAGTGCAGTAGCACAGTCATAGCTCACTGTAGCCTAAACCTCCTGGGCTCCAGTGATCCTCCAGCCTTAGCCTCCCAAGTAGCTGTGACTACAGGCACACAGTACTATGCCTGGCTAATTTTTGTATTTTTTGGTAGAGGCAGGGTTTCATCATGTTGGCCAGGCTGGTCTCAAACTCCTTGGCTCAAGTGATCCTCCTGTCTCACCCTCCCAAAGTGCTAGAATTACAGGTGTGAGCCACCACGCCCAGGCTGAGCATGTTCTTATACTTTAGCAGTCAGTAAATACGGCGTGAGGAGTAATACATTTCCCCTGACCAGTTGCTTTGCTCTAGACTCTGTAGAGAATATACTTTGTAAAGTGGTTTTTCCAGAAGTTGTGTCGATGTTCCAGCTGCAAATTCCCTCCTGGCCTAGTTGTTTTCAATCACAACACCTCTCCACCGTAACTCTGCTTCCAGGTGATGACACATCTCCACGTGATTGAAGAAAGAAGGAACCAAAGCCTCTCTCTGCTCTACAAAGTACCTTATGTAGCCCAAGAAATTCAAGAGGAAATTGGTGGGTACCAGCTGTTTGTGTCAAGGTCATCTGGGACTTCTTGCAGAGGCTCAGGAGTGAAAGCTAGGCAAGAGTAGAGAGATATGAGCAAGCAAGGCGTGTGAAGTGGGACATTAGCACACCCTGGCTTCAGAAGCCTAGAATCCACTGGAGCTTACATGGCAAGGTGAAGGAGGAACCAAGGACAAATGCACTGGCTGTGAGCCACGGAGCCTTGGGTTTCACTGACCTTCACTCCGTTAGCGGAAGAATATCTGGGGTATGAAATTGCAAGAGACTAGGAGATTTCCTGTTACCATTTTCCTCCTTAATTCTGATTATTCCAGGCACCTGATTTTATATAATTCTCACCTCCTCTTCCTCTCCCAGTCTTTATCTTCTTCATTTATTCAACAAGTTTTATTGTGTCTGCTGTGTGTCACAGAGTAAAATGGTCCACAAGCAGATAGTGCCTGCCAGAGTTCATGTGACGATAGGAGAAAAACAGACAGTAAAACAAGAAAATAAATGTCAGGTGGTGATAAGTGCTGTGCAGAGTTAAAACTCGGGCACAGTGGTAGAGAGCGGCCGGTCGGGGCTGCTGGCTCTGGGGACGGTGGCCTAAGATCCGAATGGTAAGATCACAGTGGGAGGGCACGTTGGTAGCAGAGTGAGCGGCAGCTACAAAGGCCCCAGGTGGAAGTCAGGCATCACATTTAAGTAGATCAGTGTGGCTACAACATAGCAAAGGGGATGCGGCCAAAGTATGCAAGGACCAGATCGGGAAGAAATTTCAGCAAAATCAGGGAGTTTGGTTTTTATTTTTGGATAATGGGAAGCCGTTAGAGGATTTTCAGCTAGGGAGAGACTAGATCTGGATTATGAATTTTTAAAAGCTCACTTGGCTGCTTTGTGTAGAGTCGATTAAAATTAGAAACCAGCCAGGAAGCGATTATAGAAATCCAGGAGAGCGCTGTTGGGAGTATGCACTGAAGGGGTGATGGGGTAGGAGAAGGAGTGCCCCAGGGACAGCTGGGGACGGTCTCTAGGATGTGTTCTGTGGGGAGTGTGTGGGGCTGCGCCCAGGGCTGCGTGTGCGGTTGGGGGAGCGGCATCAAGAATTGCACTTAGGGTTCCACTGTGGGCAGCTCGGGGATGGTGGTACCATGGCCAACTGAGGTGAAGAAGGAAATCCGGAGCTCTCTTGATACATGTTAAGATAGAAATTTCTGTTGGGTGTTAGGTGGAGATCTAAGTAGGATTTAGGTGAGGCAGAGGTCAGGCAGTAGGTCCAGGATTCAGGCCTGGGAGTCATGGTATGTGGTCAGTATTTAAAACTGGCATCAGGGAGAAGTAGGTCAGAGGGTGTGAAGCGGTAGTTGTAGTTATGTGGGGTGGATACGTCTAGAGATGGGATGGACAGCGTGAGGACTGTAGTTATATATATAATACTGTACTATATACTAAAAATTTGTCGAGAGTAGATTTGGGGTATTCTTATTTTTAAAAAAAGTAAATCTGGAAGGTGATGCGTGTGTTTGCTTGACTACGGAAATCATTTCACGGTGTATATGTATATCAAATCATTATATCGTATACCTTAAATATGTACCGTTTTTAAAACCCCCAAAATCTGTGGTGTTGTGGATACCACTTAACTGGAGTGTGGAGGTGGAGGCAGGGGTGCGTGGGACGACGCCCTGGGGTCCCTGGTGCTGGGGCTCTGTGGTGCCACAGCATCAGGGAAGGTGTTTCAGGCAGGAGCTGGGAGCCACAGTGGGTCTTGGAGCTCTAGAGCATCCTGTGCCTGGACACCAGGCCCTTCTGAAGCCTGCTCTCTGTCCCCTGCCCTGTCTTCATCAGATGAGCTCCTTCAAGAGCAGCGTGCAGACGTGGACCAGTTCACTGCCTCCATCTCAGAGACCCCTGTGGACGTCCGGGTGAGCTCTGAGGAGAGTGAGGAGATCCCGCCGTTCCACCCCTTCCACCCCTTCCCAGCCTTACCTGAGAACGAAGGTGTGTATGGGCGACGGTGCCACTTCTGGGCAGCAGAGGGAGGACAGAATGAGAGAATTAAAGTCAATGTTTTGAAAACCAAATTGAGTTGGGAGATGGTGTTCCTGTGAGAGTCAGGGGAAGGGAGACCGGATTCATTGAACACCCACTGCGTGCAAGGACCCTGCTAGATGCTTTCAAATCATTGGTGTCAATGTCACCCTGAAGTTAAGACTAAATCTCCTATTTCAAGATGGGTGGCTTCAAACCCCCACTTCTTCCAACTTGTGCACTTCTTACATGTGGGAGGCACTTGGCAGTTGAAACAGCACCTTCCTGTTAGGCTGTTACCTTTGCGCAGCTGTCTTGGGAGGTAGGTGCCGTAGAGGCTGAGGAGGTGACAGGGCTGGTGCAGGGTCATATCTCTGACATGAGGTGGGGTAAGAAGGTGTTCCTCTGGCTCCTAGGCAGACATTCTTCCCTCTATTCCCCTGCTGGTTCTCAGTGTCTAAGAGGATCTCTAAAAGCTGTGAGCCTGCTTCAGAAATAAACAAGTTGCTGAGCCCAGTGCCCTGAGAGTAGTCTCCCTCGTCAGTTCTGTTTGTTGCTGTTGCTGCTGATAGGGTAATGTTAAGAATGGCCCACAGCTATGCCATAGTCCTTGTTACATGCCTGCGTTAGCTAAGCATCTCAGCGGATGCTCTCCATCCTCACAGTAACCCTCGCAGGTGGGTAGTCGAGTGTCCCCAAGTGGGGATTCTGAGGTGTAAAGAGGTTAAGTAACTTGCCCAAGGTCATGTAGCTTGTAAGGGGAGAGTCAGGAGTTGAACCCAAGCCAGTCTGGTCTTGCAGTCACAGACCTGACGGGATATAGCACTGGAACAGAGGCCTCAGGAAGGCATCAAATTGGGAGTGGGGGGTTGGAGGTACATCCATGTTAGCCTTCAGACCTTAACAGAAATGCCTTCTGGTTATCGCAGAGCAGTTGACTCTTCAGAAATAAAACGGGATCTGAGGAAGTGGCAGATAGATGAAGAGCACCGTGCCATTCCCAGATCTCCGTGGGTTTGTTGGGTGGCCATGCTTAGAAAACTTCTTATGTGCTTATTGGGGGTCGGGGCAGCTTGGATATACCTGAACTAGAACCTTACCTCCCTGTCAGCAAACCACAACCAACACTGACTTCAATTTTTGCTTTTTTCTAAGAAAAATATTTATGTGGGCTAAGCTAAATAGTGCAGGCATCTCCCAAAGTTTCCCTAAAAAGGCCCAAGACAGACCTACTTTTTTCTCTCTTATCAAGGATACTCTCCAGTGATTTGCTGTGGCTTCTACTGCTGGTTGTTTATGGGGTAGTTCAGGCATAGTGTTTTTAAGGAGGAATACTTTTTGTTCACTTTATAGAGAAATTCTAAGATAGAAATTTTAAAAGAAGCCATTTTCTTTCTTAATCTCCTTTTGTGCTGTTTTATTTTGTTTTTTATTGTTTTCCTTTCTGCTAGACACTCAGCCGGAGTTGTACCACCCAATGAAAAAAGGTTGGTTTGTCCAAGATGTTCCCTTTAAGACCTTCATTCCTCTCCACTCCCCAGTGTGTCTGAAGCTTCATGTTCTGTTTCATGCCATCACCTGGCTTTCCCCACCTCATTTCTTCCGGCGCGGCTGTGAGTGGAGTCAGAGCAGCGCCGCCTCCATGTTGCTAACAAGCTGACCTGACTCCAGCACTCCGAGGCCAGTTTCCGTGGCGTTGGTTACCGCGTGGTCATGCCAAGCTTTCCCTCTGGGATGTCAGAGAATGCACAGCAGCCAAAATAGATTTCATGACCCTTTTAATCTGGGTAGATTTTTAGAAGTATTTCCCACTTAGGTTGGTTGTGAACCGCTATATCTGTGTACATATGCCTTATTTACAGTAAGGTGGAGAGTCTTTCTCTTTTCCCTCTTTTTCTCTGCAATTCCCATTTACGTCTTTTCTTTTTGGCTCTCCTTGCCTTTTGTCTGTGCCAGCTGTCTCATGTCCCCTGAGTTGTAGCCTTCCTCAGAACATCAGAGGCTGATGGATCAAACACATGGAGACAGCCCAGCTCACTGTACTGTGTCTCCAGTTTTCAAAAACCGTTCACGCTCCATAAAGCACTATGGGGAATGCTTTGCATACTTGATCTGAGTCCACTGAACGTCCCTGTAGGATGGGTAGTGGTTTTAGCTCTATTTTCTATATTACATAATTGAAGTTTCTGAGATGACATGACTTGCTCTAAGAAGTGGAGGAACCAGGATTTGAACCCAGTTCTCTGTCCTCCAAGCCCATGTGATTTTATTACCTAAGCTGTTGGTGTCACGGGATCCCCCAGGTGGGTGGGCGGCCCAGTCATTGTGAATCATTTCAACATTTCTTGTTCATAATGTGTTGTATGAGCCCACCCTTGGCTTTGGCAGACTTCTTATGGATGGGCCAAATGGAGTTGCCTGGCTAAGAAGCTGGTGTTCTGCTTCATGCCACAGGTTGTTCTCAGAACACAAAAGTGTGATTTGAATCTTCTGAAAATGACGCGCATAGATGCTTTATTTTATTCTACTTGGATATCCCTATTCTTGGGGATGACTGTGCCGACATTCCTTTTAACAGCATAACTGAGATGTTGAGAAAGATGAGTTTTCTAGAAGTTTAACAGGCTTTTGCCTTTATACTTAACTGTTATGAGTTGGGACAATTTAAACATTAACTTTGGCGTCTTGAAGTCACTTGTTTATGTGTTTTTTTAAAGAAACATGGGGGCTATACCACCAAAAATGTATTATAACAGTCTGGACTGGCGGTAGGTTTTTTTTTTATTTTTTTTTTGAGATGGGGTCTTCCTCTCGCCCAGGCTGGAGTGCAGTGGTGCAATCTTGGCCCACTGCAGCCTCCTCCTCTGGGGCTCAAGCAGTCTTCCTACCTCAGCCTCCCAAGTAGGTGGGGTGACAGGTGCATGCCACCACCCTCAGCTAGTTGTTTTGTTTGTTTATTTTTGTATTTTTAGTAGAGATGGGGTTTTGCCATGTTGCCCAGGTTGGTCTCCGACTCCTGGACTCAAGTGATCCTCCCGCCTTGGCCTCCCAAAATGCTGGGATTATAGGCATGAGCCACTGTGTCCAGCGACAGTAGGCCTTTAGTTGGCTTAGTGCCACATTGCTTTTTGAGTAAAATCCTGCCGTGTGACCTTTAAAATTCTGCGAGAGAGAAACATGGAAGGAGCTCAGAATTACAATTGATTGGGCTTGGTCATGAGCATCCTTGCTGAGGCAATATCCTTCCAGATCCCTCTTTCTCAAATAGTTGTAGTGCAGTATTGCTATTTCATGGGCATTTTGAGACAAAAGCTGGCTCTGATTTAACTAGAATCAAGTCGTGGACGTCTTTAAAGTTGAAGCTTTAGAAAAATTGCATTGTTTTTTACTGCATTGCGTTAGCTAGCCTCCAAGTTCAGTGACTGGGGAAGCTGTTACAAATTGCTATGTGTTAAGAACGAGTCTAGTTGTGAGGCAGAAGCTCTGCTGTGGCTGTGCCTTGGGCCGTTACCTGCCTTTGACGAGCCCAGGGACAGCAGTGCTTTGCGTGTCCTCATGTTGAAATCTCACTTGCCTGTAGTTACCTTCCAATGCCAGGTATGCTGTCAGGTTGATGTAGTTATAAAAGGCTCATATCACAGACATTTATGTTGAACTGTATGTTATTCTTACGATAGCTAGAAATCACATGCTTTGGAACTAAAAATAGAGGACTGCCTCTCACGTTCCCTCCCTGGGTCTGTGCTGCATCGTCGTGCTGTGTATTTGGTTACTGTCCTTCGGAGCGCCACACATGAGTGATGTTGCTCAGGCAGTGTCTGACCTTGGCAAGAAGAGAGTTGCTATTCTTGTGGCTCCATTTAGAGAAAGGGGCCTTCCATGCTGATACTAGAATTCTCCCTATAGATGGAATGCTTCCTTCCTGTTTATCTTCTAATAGCCACTTAGGATATGAGCATCTAGGATCCCGGCCCTGAGAGGGATTCAGCGTGATGGGAGATGCAAGAAGAAATCCATAATGACAAACTGTGATTATAAATGCCATCACCTGGGAACCTCCCCAGGACCAACTGAAACTCTAAGGAAAAATAAGAGTTTAGGTTGGGGAGGGTATTTGAGGCAGAATGAATTCCCTGTGGGTTCACCTACTATGTCCAAGGCAAACGTGCAGGTTATTGTGAGGATGGGTGCTGTGGCAGCCGGGTGTGGGTAGTAGGTACTCAGTAATTTCTCCTATAATGGTGTTGTGTGTTTCCCATGCTAGGATGCCTCTGGGCTCCACTTCTATGTATCTTACAATAAACATTTTCTCTGAAGGCTTGCATTTCATTTTCCCAAGTTGGAGACAAGTAAGCACTCCGTCCTCCTCCATTAAACCCATCAGTCTCTGCAAATGCCTGTCTCATTCATCTTTAGAGAGCACAGGGCACCCTCAGACATGTGAACGCGGTGGCAGATGAGTTGTGGGGGGAGGTGCGTGGGAGGGGCTCACTGGCCCTCAGGAGGGAGTTTGCTGCTTCTGTGCAATGGGTGTGAGATGGGCCGTCCTTGGGAACTCAGCCGTGATCTCTCTCCACACAGGATCTGGAGTGGGAGAGCAGGATGGGGGACTGATCGGTGCCGAAGAGAAAGTGATTAACAGTAAGAATAAAGTGGATGAAAACATGGTGAGCCTGTTCTTTCTTCTGCCCAACATGCTTTACTTTTGAGACTCATTAGAGTGAGTGACCTGATGTCAGATGCTTCCAGGTGCACGTCTGTGTTCATTTTCCACACAGTAGAAGGTTGGAGGGCTCCAGCGACTCCCACAGACTGGCTGTGGTGTTTAGCATCTGGGTATGAAAAGGATTAAAGAGCCCTTTTCAGCAGTAGCTCATCTCTTGTATAGAGTAGGAAAATATATTTACAACTAAAGATAAGAATAACCTGTTAGAGGCCATTTTCAAGTGAGTAGAGTTAATACTTGGATTAGTGTTGGGTTTTGTTCTTACACTGCCTTAGGTTTATACCCCCTTTTATTCACCTAGTATTTTCTATCATTTATAGTTCTGGATTATCCTCAACTGAGTTTGATAGTTAAATGTGGCTTTTTTTTTTTTTTTTTTTTTTTTTTGAGATGAGAGTCTTGCTCTGTCACCCAGGCTGGAGTGCAGTGGCGCGATCTCGACTCATTGCAGCTCTGCCTTCCGGGTCCACGCCGTTCTCCTGCCTCAGCCTCCCAAGTAGCTGGGACTACAGGCACCCGCCACCACGCCTGGCTAATTTTTTGTATTTTTTAGTAGAGACAGGGTTTCACCATGTTAGCCAGGATGGTCTCGATCTCCTGACCTCATGATCTGCCCGTCTCGGCCTCCCAAAGTGCTGGGATTACAGGCGTGAGCCACCACGCCCAGCCTAATTGTGGCTTTTTGGCAATCTGTTCTGAAATACATCTCCACATGGTTACTTGAAGGAAAACGCATACAGGACCAGCTGCTATAATATAGTCTTCCCTCCATACCTGCCCCTTCATTAGGGGTTTGGGGAGTGGATTTGGAAGGCTGTGACAGAACTGGTTGGTTAATGGGGGTCCCACAGGTACCTGCTTCCTTCCATCAAGCAGCAGGTAGCAGAGGAAGGAGGTAGCAAATACCAAACTCCGCATTCACCCAGTTGCTCACTGCCGACATTCTCATGACTGTTTCAGGTCATTGACGAGACTCTGGATGTTAAGGAAATGATTTTCAATGCCGAGAGAGTTGGAGGCCTTGAGGAAGAGCGGGTATGTGCTTAGCTCCAAAACCTAAGGTTTTCTGTCGGTCATAGGTGTTTCTCCTCTGGACTTTCTCAGTTCAAGTAGAAAGCAGGAGAGATGCCTGAGCTAATAAGGGTCCCTCATCCCCAGCTTCCCATACTTTTGGATAAGAAAGCTAAAATTAAAATCTCCATGGAGATTGGGAAGAGTGGGCGTTCTCCACATACGGGTGGTTCCCTGCAAAGCAGGATCTTGGTGCTACTTTGGGTTTTAGGGGCTCACCCTTCCAGGAGCGTGGCCCTCAGTGAGTTACTTGCCTCACGGCTTCCAGATGGTCACTGAGACTTTGTTCCACATCTGCTTTGTTACGTAGGAATCCGTGGGCCCACTGCGGGAGGACTTCAGTCTGAGTAGTAGTGCCCTCATTGGCCTGCTGGTCATCGCAGTGGCCATTGCTACAGTCATCGTCATCAGCCTGGTGATGCTGAGGAAGAGGCAGTATGGCACCATAAGCCACGGGATCGTGGAGGTGAGGAGCTGGGCTGCTGAGGGCCTGCTCTGCACTGTGGGCTGGGTGGGGGTGGGAACCTGTGGAATTAATAAGCATCTTTACTCCTCGAGTACTGGACATGCTGCTGTCATCAGTTCAGTTACTCACTGGATTCCTCGCTCATGTGTTTGGAAATCAGCCCCTGCCACAAGGGACTGTTGCCAAATTTCAACATTAGTTTGGGCTTTGGCTATGAATGTCAGAAAGTCGTGTGAACATTTTATGCTACAGAGGGTGAAAACTCTTTTCTCAGATTATTTCCTTAGTGTTCCTTTTTCCAGGTATGTGTTTTTTTAAATGGGGGGAGGGAGCAACAGGAAATTTACAAAGTGCTGAAGCCGACTGTTTGTGTTCTGTCTTCTGCTGGTTACTGAACTTCTCTTGCCACTCATTCCTTAGTGAATAGTGGGAATGTCCAGAGTCCCTTGATCCTTAAATATAAATACAGTAAGGACCTTAGTGAGCCCTGGGAAATTAGTGCAGATTCTGGTCTTAGTTATTTGTGGTTTTTTGTTTGTTTTTGGTTTTGGTTTTTTGGAGACAGAGTCTTGCTCTGTTGCCCAGGCTGGAGTGCACTGGTGTGATCTCGGCGCATTGCAGCCTCTGTCTCCCGGGTTCAAGTGATTCTTGTGCCTCAGCCTTCTGCCTAGCTGAGACTACAGGTGCACACCACCATGCCCAGCTAGTTTTTGTATTTTTAGTAGAGATAGGATTTCCCCATATTGACCGGGGTGGTCTCAAACTCCTGACTTCAAGTGATCCACCTGCCTCAGCCTCCCAAAGTGCTGGGATTACAAGCATGAGCTACTGTACCTGGCCAGTTATTTGGGTTTATCTCTTGCTGGAGACTGGCCTAGCTGTAGCATTTCAGAGTTGAAAAAGACCAGAGATCCCCTGGTCCCACTGTCTGCGTGCTAGCCTACTGCTGAGTGGCTTACCTTGGCTGGCCCAGGTAGTAAGCAGTGGCGCGGAGCCTTGCTTGTTACCGTGGTGCTAGGACATCCAGTTGACTGGCATCTTCTGTGAGGACTAAGCTTTCAGGGCTCTCGTTTCGAAAGCATTGCCTCTTTGATCCCCTTATTTTCTTTCTCCTGTGTTTTACCACCGGTTCTCATGTGGCCTGTCCTGTGGGAACGGGCTGCTGGCTGCATTTGGTCCTCAGGGGATCGTGCAGCAAATGGCTCAGGTCTCCCAACGCCCTGTGCAGGTCTCTTCCCAGACACCGCAATGACCCTCAGGTTTTGTTCTTCCAGGTTGATCCAATGCTCACCCCAGAAGAACGTCACCTGAACAAGATGCAGAACCATGGCTATGAGAACCCTACCTACAAATACCTGGAGCAGATGCAGATTTAGGTGGCAGGGAGCACGGCAGCCCTGGCGGAGGGGTGCAGGCAGGCCAGAAGATCCCACGATTCCGATCGACTGCCGACCAGCGGCTGCTGCCGGGGGCTGCGTCTGACATCCTGACCTCCTGGACTGTAGGACTATATAAAGTACTACTGTAGAACTGCAATTTCCATTCTTTTAAATGGGTGAAAATGTTAATATAACAATATATGATATATAAACCTTAAAAGAAAAAAAATGATCTATTGCAGATATTTGATGTAGTTTTCTTTTTTAAATTAATCAGAAACCCCACTTCGATTGTATTGTCTGACACATGCTGTCAATGTATAATAAACAGGAAATGTCGATTTTCAATAATAGACTTATATGCAGGCTGTCGTTCCAGTTACGTTGTGTAAGTCAACTCTTCAGGCTCATTCACTCTCCTGGCTTTTATTTAAAGAAAAAAAAAGGCAGTATTCCCTTTTTAAATGAGCTTTCAGGAAGTTGCTGAGAAATGGGGTGGAATAGGGAACTGTAATGGCCACTGAAGCACGTGAGGATACCCTTGCAAAATGATGTGAAAGGACCAGTTTCTTGAAGTCCAGTGTTTCCACGGCTGGATACCTTTGTGTCCAAAGTCCCGTCACCAAGGACATTAAAGACATTTCATTCCAGCATCTTCTAGAGAGCTTGGTGTGTACAGACGAGGGTGTCCACTGCTGCTTTCCTTCAGAATCCAGTGCTTCCACAGAGATTAGCCTGTAGCTTGTCTTTGACATTCTTCGCTGTCTGTTGTTTACCTACCGTAGCTTTTTACTGTTCACTTCCCCTTCCACCTGTCCAGATGTGCAGGCCCCTCCTCTCTGGACTTTCTCCAAAGGCACTGACCCTCGGCCTCCACTTTGTCCCCTCACCTCCACCCCTCCTGTCACCGACCCTGTGACGTTCACTCAGAGGAGACCACACCAAGGAGGCGGCGGCTGGCCCAGGAGAGAACACAGGGAGGTTTGTTTGTGTGAAAGGAAAGTAGTCCAGGCTGTCCCTGAAACTGAGTCTGTGGACACTGTGGAGCGCTTCGAACAATTGTGTTTTCTTCACGAGTCTCTGTAATGCTTGTACAGTTGGTGTTGATGCCCACAGCTTCTGCTTTTGCTTTTTCTTTTAAATCTGAAGGTTCTGGTAACCTGTGGTGTATTTTTATTTTTCTGTGACTTTTCCTTTTTCCTCCTCTTTGACCCTATTCATGTCTCTACCCACTATGCACAGATTAAACTTCACCTACAAACTCCTTAATATGATCTGTGGAGAATGTACACAGTTTAAACACATCAATAAATCCTTTAACTTCCACCGAGACTGCTTGTTTCATTGACCACGGCATTGATCTGTGTGATGCTTCTGCCCCCTGCCTCCAGGAGGGTGAGACCTTCCTTCCACGAAGGACCCCAGCTGTACCTCGCAGACAGAAATATGTCTACTCAAGCCTTGACTCTAGGGTTCCAATGCCATTTTGCATCTAGAAAACAAAGTAGAGGGAATGTCTGCATAGAGCATTTGTCTGGCAAAGTTTAGGCTACTGATATTTGTTAATATGAGACTTCTTAATGCTACTGGAAACGAGTAGGGCCTGTGGCTGAATTTTCAGAGAAATGCTTGTAGCTTCCATTTGCTTAAATAACCTGACACGGGGAGGCCCTATCCCCTCATTGATGGGGGTGTTCGGTTTGTTGCCTTGACAACTGCTTAGAGGGCTGTCTGCCTGGGGCCAGTTTTATCTACTGAGCTAAGATTTTTTTAATGCCCAGCTACAGGGAAGAGGGTCAATTCAGGGGTAAATCTCAGTCCCTACCTTAGTTTAATGCCAGTTTAAATATATGGAGTAATTATCAAGGTAATGTCATATATACTTGTGTGTAGATGTACATGTGTGTACATACATAACGAATCTTCCCTGGGATACTGGACTCGGGAGTGTTTTATGAGCCAGGAAGCATCTTGTGAGCCAGGTGAATAGGCTGGGTCTTTATAGTGGTTGCCACTTCCCCATCAGCCTCTCCCTTCTGCCTGCATTGGTCACTGAAGTTGCTGCCAGGAAAGCCCTGAAGAAGAGGGAACTTTTTTGTTTTTCAAAACCAGTTTCTGCTGGAGTGCTCTGAAGAGCGTTATCACCCGACCCTCTGCAGTATCAGCTGGAAACTGATCTCAGGGTCATTCTGATTTCAAAGCTAACAGACCAGCTTCATTCAGACTACCTGCCATGTGTTAGCTGCCTCCAAGTCAGGACCGCGTTTTTGTCTTTCTTTTTTTTTTTTTTTTGAGACAGTCTGTTGCCCAGGCTGGAGTGCGGGGGCACGATCTCGGCTCACTGCAACCTCTGCCTACCAGGTTCAAGCAATTCTGTCTCAGCCTCCAGAGTAGCTAGGACTACAGGTGTGCACCACCGTGCCCGGCTAATTTTTTTGTATTTTTAGTAGAGACAGGGTTTCACCGTGTTGGCCAGGCTGGTCTCGAATTTGTGACCTCCTGATCCACTCGCCTTGGCCTCCCAAAGTGCTGGGATTACAGGCGTGAGCCACGACGTCCAGCTCCATTTAGTCTTAACCTTTTGATGCATTCCCCTCTTCCAGAAGAGACGCTGAGGTCTTCCACGGAGCAGTAAGGGGTGGAGCAGAGATGCAAACCCGGCTCGGTGGGAGTTCTCCTTTATTCAATGTACTTCAGTCCTAGGGGAGGCGGGGGCGGGGGCATCGCAGCCGATACCCATCCAGCTGCTCAGCTCTCTTACCTGTTACCCACTTTCCTGTTGCTGATGGGTTAGAGAGGAGTTTGGGGCTGGTGAAACTGCAGTGGTTTCTATTTGCACGTTCATTACCCAAATGGGGTCATTGCAGAGACAGGGTTAGCTGAGAACTGGGGAGGCCTGAGAGATGACGCGGAAATGAATGAGAGGCAGGGCTGCCAGGCAGCCTCACCCTAGGCTGGCTCCACTCTGCTCCCTGGTGGCTCACCTACCTCCCGGGAACTGAGAGAAGCTCATCTCCTGGTTTCTGCCTTGGTGACTCAGCCTTGACCTCTGGGGAATGTGGCCCTGCCCACCTTGCGGCCAGCCTCAGGTGCTGACAGCGACAGGTGCGAAGGTCCTTCTACCTGCCTGTCTGCTTTCAGTTGCAAATCAGAGCCAGGCAGCTGAGGTTTGAGCCAGGATATCAGATGCCCCAATCTCTGGTTTCTGTTGCTGTGACAACTGACAAAACTCATTAGGAGGTACAGATGAGGGTGTAATGTTTTGGAGAGGCCCAAGGGTCCACTCTCATAGGAGGAGGTGAAAAAGTATTTAAAAAAGGAACATGCTGTCTTGTGGTACTTTGAAGTCATGGACGTAGAATGGATACAGGGAACTGGAAGGGACCTTATGACTCCTGATTATTTCACAGCTGAAACATGGCCACAAGTTCACATGCTGTTAGGGACAGAGCCAAAGGCCACGGTTATGTACAACGGACTCTAAGGCAAAGGGTAAAGTGGTCCTTAAAAGACAAGGAGACGGATGTCAGCTGGTATCTTGCCTGTTACTGCCTGTGGAATAAGGGGAAGTCGTGTCTGTTCTGTCCCCTGTGGGTACATACTTTTGACAGGCAGTAACAACCACGGACTTGGTTAGTGCATTTCCACTGTGGAGCAGCCCAGATACCCAGAGAATGTGACAGGAGACATGAGTTTCCCTCCTCCCCTGCCCTCCTCCCCGACCCCGCAGAATCTTGAAGTGGATGGGGTATGCCTTTTTTTTTTTTTTTTTTTTTTTTTTTTTT